TTTTTTTGGTGTTTGGATGGTCGAGCAACATATTGAAATTGCTAGCATCTCCTTTTGTGCGGGTTAAAACATTGTGAACTTTTTCTGTGGGGTTGAATATGATGTTCAATGAAGTAATATCAAAGCTCAATAGATATTTTGGGTGAAAAATGAAAATTTTAGACCATGTTGATAATATGGTATTACTGGCATAAACTTGCACAGTTTGCTGAAAATCTTTTATTGATGCTTATTTTTCTTCAAACGGCAAATGTTATTAGCGTTTAAGTGTTTTTCTTCAATTACGATCTTTCACTGGAATGGAACATCCATGAGAAAGAGTTGCATTATTTTTTGTCCAGGGTTATGTTAAGGCAGAGCAAGACTAGAATAGACATGGACTAGCATTGAAGATACTGAAATTGACACGGTGAGGATAATGAAATGGACACAATTTCTATTATACAATCGAATGCGTAACCTAGATAAAGCATAACGGTGTTTAGGATCATAGTAAAATCAATTGGAAGAAGACACAGATAACTGTTTAATCAGTTTCTCATTTATAATTTAATGGGTTTTGAATTGAGTTTCAATTTAAAGTTAAGAGAAAATGAGTGCTTACCAACATATTAGAATATAAATGTGGCTTCTGGATTATTGATCATGTTCTCACTAAATGCTGATAGCAAATTCAAAATCCAACGGCCATAATGATTGCAAGAACGGCTGTTGCTCAAGATGATTCAAGTGGAGATGGTACTACTTCAACTGTTCTCTTTATTGGGGAGCTCATGAAACAATCAGAGCGCTACATACAAGAAGGTCAGTCAATCTTAGTTTCTTCAATATTTTCAGTATAATTGCTCCATCATGCATTCTACTGTTGTATTATATCCACATTCTTACAGATTTTTAAAGAAAATTTCAGTCATTTCATTACATGCTGGGGGAAAAAGCCCTATTACTTATTTCATGTAAGTGGAGCTTACAGGCTTGACATGCAGCTGTTGTAATACAGTTTGAATAGCTATTTTTGTGTATGAAAATTGACTCTGTAATTTGAATCAGATTCCCATACTCTACGCATTTACTATTTACCAGATCTTTTTTTTCATTGACATGTGATTACTAGTTTGTTTCTTTGTGTATATGATGTTGCTATGGCATTTTTCATTCTTGACATTTGGATCATTGCAAACCAAAAATGCTGACACTATACCTTCTAGTGATTTTTTGCTATCAAATTTTATTTTCCTTATTTTTTAACCCATTGTTTAATGTAAACCACTATTTACCAAAAAATTGGTCAAAATGATTTCAGTTCTATATTTGTGTGAGTTTAGTAAATTTTGAAATGAGGTTCCATATTCTTGCAGGGATGCACCCTCGTGTTTTAGTAGATGGTTTTGAAATTGCTAAAAGAGCAACACTACAATTTCTTGAAAAATTTAAGACTTCGGTGGTAATGGGGGAAGAGCCAGATAAAGAGACACTGAAGATGGTAGCAAGAACAACATTGAGGACAAAGGTTTTCCCTCCCCCTTTATTTCCAAGCACCTTTCATCTCTCTTTGGTTTTTATTGATTTTTTTAAAATTTCTCTTCTGGTCTCATGCAGTTATATGAGGCGTTGGCAGATCAACTGACAGACATTGTTGCTAATGCTGTGAGTGCTTGAAATGTTGTATGATAAATAGTCTTTCCTCACACTTTTAATGAATGTGTCAAGTAGACTTATTTCTGATATATTAGTTGATATCATTCACTAATTCTATAGAAGATGATATATATTTTTTTGTACCCACCCGCTATCTTGTTCATGTGCAACAATTTGTGGCTTAATGTAATAGGTGCTCTGCATTCGTAAACCTGAAGAACCTATTGACCTTTTTATGGTCGAGATAATGCACATGCGCCACAAGTTTGATGTGGACACTCTTTTGGTACGTAACACGTTCTTAACATTTTCTAAATTTGCTTGATTCTTAATCACGTTCTTAACGTGGATAAAAGTGCTTTCTCATGCTTGTTTTTGGATTTATTCAATGTTTGCTGGTAAGGACTTTTTATAGGTCCAAAATCGACACTTTGTGACGGTGATATTTGGGAGATTGATGTTATAAAATTAATTTATTTAGTCTTTTATATTTCTGGATACCTCTCTTGAAAGCATTCCTCGACTTTTAAGCAGTTTTTTTTTTCTGTGCATCTTATAGCAGAGAAGGAAATATATTTGTGCATATGACATTTGAAGGTGGTGTGGGCTTTCACACACTACTTTTTACCTGCTGTATAACATGCATGTGGTGACACGCTTTGTGCCTATCATGCGCACTTGTGATGGACACTACACGTTTCTTTATTCTGCGGGCTGCCATATAAGATGCTCATTGTGTGTCACTATTGTTTCTAGGTTGAGGGTCTTGTTCTTGACCATGGTTCAAGGCATCCAGATATGAAACGCCGAGCAGAGAATTGTTATATCTTGACTTGTAATGTATCACTGGAATACGAGAAGAGGTGATTAGTTGTACATGTACAAGTCTACAAGATAGTGTGTCTCAGTTCACTTATTATTCATAGGTGAAGAATTGACATTATTTTTCTCAGTGAAATAAATGCAGGGTTTTTTTACACAAATGCAGAGCAGAGAGAAGCAATGATTGCAGCTGAAAGACGTTCTGTTGATGAAAGAGTGCAGAAAATTATTGATCTCAAGAACAAGGTTATTGAATACAACATCACAATTGAACATTCTTGATTGCTGTGAGTTTTTATTGTATGTTGTCTCTGGATATGGCTCACTTGTGATATCTTCAGGTCTGCA